TGGTTGATGATCCTGAAGAAGTAGGTAGTGATATTGATGTAAATTATCAGCCAGATTCCTAGCTATGGTTAGGCTATGCATTCTTAGCTAAACGCTATGTACTGAAATCTGTTTTTCACTCATAACTTATTTATTTGATAACTTACCTCACTACCTATATGATTATATATTTGTAATCCTCATAAAATTTAGAACAAAGTGGCTATTTTCAAATATTCATGGGCCTATAATTTATACAATTTCATTGAGCGCAAACTTTTTTTTTTTGAAATTTTTCCAAAATAATTTTTTTTTTACCTAAAAACTTTTTTTTAACAAATGTTCCTTATGTTTTATATATAATATTGAAGCCCATGATTTTCCAAACAAAATGGTATATAGAACAGTAGAATTAACATTGTTTTAAGCTTCTCAGATCCGTTTTAATACAACCTTGCAAATGCGCCAAAAATAGGCGGACATTAAGGCCTAAACTATGGACACTCAGAGGGTTAAGTTAGACTAACCAAATTTTTATTGTGTAATTAGTTGGTTATATGACTGGTGTCCGATTTAAGCACATAACTAGCCTATCTGTTAGCCCAGCTAGCGGCTAACAATGTAATTCAGGTACCATGCCAATTTCACAGAGAAGGGAGCACTTGCCTTTTGGCGCTTTGGCCCTCAACCACATTACATTAACTATAACAATCTCCCTCCATGGCTAGTTTTATTTTTGAAATAGCCTACCATTTGATCTAAGGCCCTAAAATTTAAAAATCTTCTCAATCACGATCTAATGAATATATACGTACTTACCTTCACCTTTACCATTGGCAGTTATAATGAGGCCGCCCCTAGATGTGTAATTTAACCAAAATATTAAGTGGAAGTAGGCTAGGTACTTACTTTGGCATCCAAAGCCCTTTTGAGTTCCTGCATGTAGGCATACTGTTCTGGGTATATGTAGTCGTAAGGGAAATACACAAGCAACCCGTCTACACTTAGTCTGTAACAAATCCACCACAATATGAGAAAGGACATAGCTTAAATTATATCTGAACACAAATGCACCTATGCAAGGATGTTCTTAGCTAAGTTTACTCTTACTTGAACATTCTATGAAGTAACTTAAAATTGGGAACTGGTGCTGTAACACAACACAAAATAAAAATAATTAACTTACTGAGAGCTATGGTTCTTATTGTACCTACATCTTCCATTTACTTATTCCTATCATCCCCCATTGAAACTATCGATTTGATTTGTAAACCTTCATGCGATTTTTTCACCATCAGCGAGTTTGGTTGGTTAGGTTAGGTTATGATAGTCTTATTTTATAATAGATATATTTACAAATATCGATTATTAATCAATATTTTCAATTCGATAGTTTCAATCAATATTAGCATAGAGCCCAGTTAAGAAACTGTACCCTAAATTTAACATAGGGCGACTTATTTTTAGCGTACCACCCCACATCTTATTTTTTTAAGTATAGATTTGAAATTAAATTAGTTTTCATCAGATAGCCTATGTTTAACAAGCCATAGGAAGGAGCTCACACTGGGTCTTATGAGGGATGGTAGATTTTATTTTACATGATTTAATATGAGTAGTGAGAGGATATCTTATTTTGAGCTTACCTCATGATTTTATGTTGATAAATTAATAAAAAATAGTGAAAACTTAATACATGTTTTCACAAATAATAATGATTATGATTTGTTTATGAGTTTAATACTCAGTCAACTGACATACATAAGTACGTACGACCTAACCTAACAAACAACACAAACAAAAACAAAACAAAACACACAAAAAAAAGCTCTTCTTCTTTTTCATTGATATTTATCTCCAATTGCATGCAAACCAGACCAAAAATTGAATTGATAACAACCATTGATTATAGCTAAACAGGATTCATACTATCATAATTGGTAATAATCATAATTGAGATGAATTATAAGGGAGTTTATTTAATCTACGATTATATAAGGGCCAATTCAATTTAGGCCATTAACTGCAATGGAAAATGTCTCTCAATCAATTTTTACTCCAGCATTTCATTCCTGATGAATACCAGAATTGACAATTTATTTTACTTAATTTTATATCAATTAAAGACTATTTGAGTAAATAAATTTTAGCAGTGAAACAACACATATACCAGATATTAACAGTATAAGTTAATATCTATATATATATATATATATACTATATTAAATATAGCACCAGGAATATTCTCCTGGAATTTTAATCTATGCCAGTGCGTAGAGAGTGCCATATATCACCATAGTAACATCACATACAAAAAGAGCAACCATTCTGGCCATTCTCTATCATTTGAGTTTAGGTAGTAATTGCTCTAAAAATGTACACACGGAAGTACCACGGCACTTATTCAATGGTAGTAACTGCTACATCCATACACTGTACAAACGTACAATAGCCGCTACAGTGTTGTTCGTATAAGAACAAGTTACAAGTCACTAACTTTTAGCAAAATTCCCTATATGGAAGTACCTAGCTATAATATAATTACAGTAGGTGGCACGGTAAGACCTGGGACCGTGACCGATTTACTTTATTATTTAAATTATAAGCCTATCACCAGAGAGCCTAAAAATACTATTCGTTAATATTTTTACATATGTATGTATACATTTACATAGACGTGTGTCCCTGAACGCTAAAACTCAACTAATATTGGACCGATTTTGATTAAATAATCTGGCTTTAAGGTGTATGGCGGGAATCTTTAATGAGTTCGCGGACTAGCGAGATCGAGATCTGGTCATGGAAACGGGGTATTATGGGTTTTTTACCCTTAAAACATGGAAATACCCTTATTTTCAATACAACCATCGTGTATAGCTTAAAAAGTAAATAATTTTGTATATTGATGTTACTGTAAATCACGGAAAAATAAAAAAAAAAAAACTTTACATTTATGAGATTCCTATGTTATTCTAATAGAGGAAAAGAAAACTGTTGTGGTTTGCTTGTTTATGCATATAGTATATCAACATGTCATGATGATAAAATTTTGCAAATTTATTTATTTCATCCCAGGCTATTAACATTTGTTAAAATTTACTTACATACTTTTACGTCTTTTACCTTTCCCATAGCAGCAAACAAAACTTTAGCATATTCTATTATAATTAAACTGGTTTGAACAAGAAAGTAAATAAAATGGTATCGGCAATCTGACATTATTCTTTCTTCGATTAGTAGTTTATGAACAATCCTTATCATGGTAAGCAGAGTGGGAGTATAACCAGTGTGATATTTTATGAGGAAATCACAAAAGTTGCATACTTTTAAACGTTAATTTTTACAGAAATTGGGGATTGCCTTTTTTTAAGAAAGGACTATGACTACACTAAATTTTAAATCAGCTAAGCCCTTTATTTTTAATCCTTATTTTATGGGTTTTTATAAGAAAATCACAAAAGTAGCATTAACTTTTTGACAGTCATTTTTACGGCAAAATGGGGGTTATACTGTTTTTTTTTTTATATATATAAAAGGATCATAACACACGAATTTTTTAAAATCAAAATCGTCTGGTCCTTTTTCAGAAAAATCAATTTTCCCCATATTTTATTGGCAAAACACCATTAAAAATCAAAATTTAAAAATTACTGGAGATACCATATAGATTTGTACCCACATATGGTACAAAATTTCAAAATCGTACCACAGGTGTGGTCTAATTGATCTGAACACATCCCCCCAACACACACACAATATACACTGCAGATATAGCTTCAAAAACCACTTCTTTGGGTTCAGAGGGGCCCCAAATGGATGGATTAGGTGGCTAAGACAACAATAACTATTTTTATCAAATAAGTATAGGGGGGAAAGTAAAAAGGATCGGTTTTTTCCATTCTGTTCCTACAGTGAGTTCCTTTACTCCATAAACAGCCAAATATAGTATGGTAGTGTTTGATGAATCTATGACACTCAGATTAAAATCTCATATCTCAAAGTGGGAAGTTGATTAGTTAATGTTAACATAAATGTAATTTAAACAGATTTGTGTAATGCTTAATAATCTTTACAAAATGAGTGTTTATGCTTTCGGAAATGTCATTCTGTCCCTGATATTTCTCATTTGCACTAAAAAGGTACAAAATACTTTTTTATGATATATTTTTTTTAAATCTGGGTCATTACTTTTTGGTTGGGAGAGGAAAATAGTCCAAACGCTGGTCTATAGAGAGCAAGAAACAAGCTTATTATAAATCACAACTGAGTCCAAAATGATGCTGTCATGATTGAAAGTATACAGTATTTACCACATTATTAGTACAACCGTTGATTATTGATGATAATCATAATGATTCATAGGTATAATTCTTCATAATAATTTGATAGTGTTCCTAGATATAAGTATGACCAACTTTTAAGAGAAGATTATTTTATGCATGTATTGTAGAAAAGGACATTTATTTTAATCTTATTATCTTAGTATATTATCTTATTTTAATCTTAATCAATGCCAGTATACAGGTAATTTTAAGTCAAAAGGTTCTATTGATTGTTATATAGACAATATTTTGTAGGTATTCACTGAAAAAGAATCACTTTTTCTCAGGAGCATTAGAAGTAAATGTTATGTTGATAAAACTTTGCTAATGAAAGAAATCGTTGAAGGGAATCCCACAAAAATAATAATTGCTCCAAAAGGATTCGGAAAGTCAACAAATTTAGCCATGATAAAACATTTTTTTGAAGTTGAAGTTAACAAAAATGGCAAGCGTCTTGAGAAGTATTTGAATTCCAATTATAAACTGTTTGAGGACAACACATTAAAAATCTTAAATGATAAACAATTTTTTGAAGATTATTTTGGCAAGTATCCAACAATAAGTATTGACTACTCTGCACTTTCATCGATAGAAAACTATGAACATTTTTTGAAAAATTATTTACAGATAATTAGTAATTTATTTTCAAAGCATAGATATATTTTGAAAAATATCACTTTGTGGCGTGATGAAAGTGAAATGGTTCTATTTCAAAGTTTCATTAATAAGAATGTGAGAGAAGACAAAATAGTGATTGGTTTAACATGGTTGTGTGAGCTGCTTTACAGACATTTTAATGAAAAGACTTTGGTTTTAATTGACGATTACGATGCTCTTGTGAAAAGCTTTTTGTTCAAGGGAAATAAAGACATGACAAAAATTACTAAACTGTTAGGAGAATCAGAGCAACATTTACTCAAATTTAACAACAGTTTCGGAACTGTACTCACTGGTGAACTAAGATTGTATAGAGGAGAAAATGTGTCTTGTTTTGTAAACCTGAGGGACCGGCTTAGCGAGTTTTATGGAATAGCTGAGAAAGAATTAGAACATCTTCTAAAAGGCAATAATTCAAAAGAAAAGATTAAGTTAAACAATTTTACTGACCTTTTCTTTGGAGGCTACATATACAATGCTGAAAATAAAAAAGTGAAAATATACAGAACTGAGTCAGTTATACAGTATCTGTTGACAGAGTCGTTAAACGTAAGCAGGATGATGAGGCCTGAGTATCTAAATGGATTGCAGAAACTAAGTCGAGTTAAAGGACTCGTCGAGTGGCTGCAGATTTTACTTTCTGGGAAAAAAGTTCTTCATACTCACGTAGAGCTTTCCCAGCCTATTTTTCACAAAGATAATATTCTAACACTAAGGATGGTAATGAACCATGGGAAAACTGAAAAGACAACAATAACGTCAGTTCTTTTCCTAACTCTTCTATACTACTTCGGATACTTAACGCCAGTTGATGAAAAACTACGTTGGTTTAAAATTCCTAACAAATCTGCACGGGATGAATTAAAAACAATTTTAGATGGATGTTCAGATGCGTTGTATGATGTACAAAAAATTGTTGAAGTAGAAAATACGAGGGTAGCTAACTATACTAAATCCACTGTCAATCTCGCTGGATCAGAGAGTAAACCAACGTATTTTATGGGTAATTTCCTCAACGTTTTGAAGTCAAAATGCATAGGGGAGAAGATAAATATCAGCAGTACCAATGAAATTAAACGGAAAATTGCAAAATGGTTCATGGAGGAACACTTACCTTTCTGAATGTTCATTAAACAACCAACTCCAAAATGTACATGAAGGTTTTGTCATTAAAATGTACAATTGGATAACAGTTTTACTTTACTGACACGTAAGTATCCATGAAACTCATAATAAAAGCGAAAAAAATTAGTGTTGCGTGAAATAATTGTACTTGGGTGTTCTCTTTCATAAATCATAAAAACTACTGTTTGGAGGCAAGGTTGTTTTTTTAGCCTTTTGATATTAATTATCAATAGATCAACTATGCAATGGATTTCCTTAAGCTGAGTTTACACAAAGCCAATTGGCTGGCAGGTTAATGACTGCATTTAAAAGGCAATAAGTAATAGGTACTGTAGTGGCTTTACCTAAGTCTTAACTGTAGGTAATAGTTAATTTTTGCTATACCCCAACTCGCTGTGTAGTTTACTACTCTAGATAAAGATTTCAATATTTGACTGTGGAACAGTACAACTATAACATAATACTATTATCAGCTCTTACATCATGCAGAGATGGACTTAAATATTGAACTCTTAATAACACATTATCAGATTTTGAAACATTGTCTATTGAAGTTGAATACTCATTTAATGTAAATTTGTGTCTTGAAATGTGATTTTTATGTTAGGTACAGTGATTTCTTCAGTTTCCGAGGAACGAATAAAAATCAGATGTTATTTGTCGTATGTGTTATTTTCGGAGTGTGTCTTTGCATAAAAGAAAAGGTAATTAATTCACAGCCACCTAAGATATATTATATTTGGTGAAATTAAAGTAAAAATCAAGCAAAAAACTCTTATAGATTTGGAGTGGATCTTGTTCAACAGATTTTGTCATTCTTGGTGGAACTGTATTTTTCTAATTTTTATACTTTTACTAATTTTATAGGTACTTAGTAAATTTTTCTAATTGTTATACTTAATAAGTTAATTGAATTCATTAATTTAAAATTGCATGCCACCTGCCTGACTTTTACATAAAATACAACTCTGAAACATAGTAATACAAGTTCTATCTTCAGCAGACAATTTACCTTACCAATGTTTCATCCTTCCATAATGTATTTTGTGAAGCTGTTGTTAAATTCTTATAACTACCCTATCAACAATATTTATCGCTTCTGACTGTATTTAATATTGTTACAATTTTTTGCAGGCACAAGCTGACTTATCACTTTTTCAATCAGTTTTAAAATCAAACATGTTTATTGACAAGTCTCTACTTCTGAAAGAAATAATAAACGGAGAACCCCTGATATCAATCACGGCTCCCAGAAAATTTGGGAAATCAACAAACTTGGACATGATAAGGAAGTTTTTGGAAATTGAAGTAGACGAGAAAGGAAATCCACTTCCATTAGCGAGTCGTTCTAATCATAAACTGTTCAAGAATAACAATTTAAATATCATTCAAGATGAAGAGTTTTGTAAGACTAACTTAGGGGTCTACCCTGTTATTTATATAGACTATGGACCCCTGTTGCATATAGGGAATATGGAGGATTTTGTGGGAAAATATACAAAAGTGATAAGCGAAACGTTCTCACAACACGAATACCTCTTGAATAATAAAACTCTGTGGTCGAACAATAGTGAAATCAGTTTTTTTGAAAATCTAATTACAGATGATGTGAAAAAAGATCAAATACCGCACAGTTTTAAATGGTTAAGCGAGTTAATGCGGAAACATTTTGGAAGAACCGTTTTTGTTTTGATGGATGAAAGTGATGCTGTAATCGAAAGTCTAATTTTTGTAGAAAACAACGATATATTCGAGATCACTAAACTTTTACGAGAAACTGAAAATAATTTGTTACAGTCTAATAATGAAGTTAGAGCAGTTTTGGTGGGAGTCATAAGAGTTTTTAGGGGAGTCTGTGATCCGATCATTTCTCACCATCCCTTCCTCGGGAGTGAAAAATTCGGAAGATTCTTCGGTATAACCCAACAAGAGCTTGACGATTTGTTAAAAAATCATATAACAGATGAGGAGAAACTAACAGAGATGACAAATAAAATAAACAAGTATTACAGTGGTTATTTGCTCTTTTCTAGAGGAAAAACCACAATATATAATACTTGGGCTATCATTCACTTCTTCGAAACCAACACTCACGCTACTGACTATTTATGTAGATCAGAGTATTTGCTTAATTATAGAAAAATATGCAGTGTTTACGGACTGACGGAGTGGTTGCAAAATTTAATACTAGAAAAGGAAGTAAAAAACACCCATGTAGATATTCACAAACCTTACTTCCATAGGACAGAAATTTTCCTGCTAAATTTATGCCTTAAATATCATATTGTTGATCCGGATAAGTACGCAACAAAAATGTTCCTAACTCTTGTTTATCATTTAGGATATCTTGCGCCACTTAAGGCTAATTTACAGACATTCAAAATACCTAATGAAGCACTACGAAGAGAATTGAAGAACTACATACCTGATCGGCCCATCGATCCATTGGCTGATATTTGAGGTTTGGAAAACTGGAGGGAATTGAAGAACTACATACCTGATTGGCCCATCGGTCCATATTGGCTGATATTTGAGGTTTGGAAACCTGGAGGGAATTGAAGAACAACATACCTGATCGGCCCATCAATCCATTGGCTGATATTTGAGGTTTGGAAACCTGGAGGGAATTGAAGAACTACATACCTGATCGGCCCATCAATCCATTGGCTGATATTTGAGGTTTGGAAACCTGGAGGGAATTGAAGAACTACATACCTGATCGGCCCATCAATCCATTGGCTGATATTTGAGGTTTGGAAACCTGGAGGGAATTGAAGAACTACATACCTGATCGGCCCATCGATCCATTGGCTGATATTTGAGGTTTGGTAATCTGGAGGGAATTGAAGAACAACATACCTGATTGGCCCATTGACCGATATTTGAGGTATGGTAATCTGGAGGGAATTGAAGAACAATATACCTGATCGGCCCATTGGCTGATATTTGAAGTTTGGTAATCTGGAGGGAATTGAAGAACATCATACCTGACTGGCCCATCGGCTGATATTTGAGGTATGGTAATCTGGAGGGAATTGAAGAACAACATACCTGATCGGCCCATCGGCTGATATTTGAGATTTGGTAATCAGGAGGGAATTGAATAACAACATACCTGATTGGCCCATTGGCTGATATTTGAGGTATGGTAATCTGGAGGGAATTGAAGAACAACATACCTGATTGGCCCATCAATCCATTGGCTGATTGAACTACATACCCAATGAACCAATCAACCTATTGGATGATAATTGGCTTTCATTTGTAAACTGGAGGGAGTTGAAGAACTATAAACCTAATTGACCAATCAACCAATTGGCTACATGGGACACAAAAGAGGACATACCTGATCGGCTCATCGATCCATTGGCTGGCATTTGAGGTTCATTTGTAAGCAACAAAATTTATTTATGTTTGTTTGCTTTTAAATAACATTGATACAGTTACTACTGTGAAGGTATATCTGGAGGGGTTTGCTAATACACCAAGCAACCCGAGCACCTCTTATTAGCACAGCTGTCCATGTGATTATCGTTGTTACAATAAAATAAAACAACAATTTGTTTATATTATTCAACAACACTCTTTTGTTTTGTATTTCATATAATATATAGTAAATCAGTAAAAACCATCATATTTTTCTCTGATGAATATACATTCTTGTACTATGCATCTCATAGTCAAAGCTAAACTTTGGTTTTATGTTATCAACATTCAGGAAAGGGTAAGAAGTAAAAAGTTATGATAGAAATACACTTCATTTGACCTTAAAATTAAATTATAAATAATTATAAGAGCAAACTTATGATAATAATCTTTTGATGTATTGAGGATTAGGTTGATTTTGGTTTTGACTGAGAGCGAGAAACGCCAGGTGACCCTTGGGACATTTGTTGGCATAGTGGCCCTTGCATCCACACTGAAATCAAAACGGCATTGATAGAATTTTTTTTAATTATGTAGGCCTAATTCTAGTTGTATTAAATATTAATTCAAAATATTAAAAACATTTTAATTCCTAAAACAAAATATTATAATCTTTCTGTATACATTTTGCTTTACCCAATGAATATAATAAATACCTTACAGCAAAATCAGTGTTTCCACATGACCAAAAAAGTAATCCCGCTTACTGGGTCGAGAAATCCCGTTTTATCCCGCTTTAAAATTTTGAAAAATCCTGTTTTATCCCACATTATTTTTTTTTGTACAATACCGTACCTAGTATTATACTTTACGTATCATGTTTATAAAGTTGTTTAAACATCACTATTATATTTAGCTACAGTATTTAATCAATTTGAGTTAGTTTTTCTCTAAGATTAAGTATAAAAAATAAAAATAATCGTCACAGCTGAAAATCCCGTTTTATCTCGCATCCCGTTTTAATCCCGCTCAAGGTCTAAAAATCCCGTTTTCGGGATAATAATCCCGCAAATGGAAAAAACTGTACAGCATGAGCGTATCTAGGGGATGGCTATAGGTGCTGTTGTCGTTCCTTCGGGAATATATGTGAAAAAATCAAAACTAAAACGCATTCATGGCTAGGTTTGAACTTTATATTAAGCCTCATAATTTTGCCCTAAAATGCACGTTTATAATTATGATCAAACAAAATTTTCGCTTAAGGATCAATACTCTTAGCCGCCTATGAAGTTATATTTGAAAACAGCAAGGTCCCTCCCCCTTTTCTACAGGTGGGATCCATCCATGCCTTGCAATTAAATCAACATGAACTAAAAGCTAATTCAGTAGGTTTATAAAAACTTTGCGTTGATGAGAAATGAAAGAGGTATTCCACTGTAAATTACAGATAGGCTATTCTAAGCAAGAAACAAAGACAAATACAAATAATACAGTAAAAGCAAAAACTAAAGAGAACTTTACCTTGAAACAGGTGACTTCCTCCAGTGGTTTGAGTGCAGGTTTGGTACCAATAATGATTTCTTTACCACTTTCGTCCGTCTTGGTAATAAACTGTGGCACCTTGACTCCCT